TCTCTCTCTCTCTCTCTGTGTCTGTGTGTGTGTGTGTGTGTGTGTGATTACTTGTGGCAGATGGGTGGCTGTGGGGCCGTCTGTCTTTTGACAGCTTCTGAAAACTACTAGAACTCCTTTGGATGTCGATTGGAGACCCTATGACTGAGAAGGGACTGAGGGGGGCTAATGAGAACGGCCTCCGTGGTCATCACATCGGTGGAGGCAGGACAGGCCACCCCTGTGTGGTCCCACTGTGCCAGTTCTGGGGGTCCCTCATGGACCCAGGCCACACCCCTCCCTCAGCACTTGGAACAGGTGGGAGACAGCAGCCCATGGAACCAGTGGTTCCCCACATCTCCTGATCTGCAACCAGCATCCTCGAAGAGCTGCTACCCATGGAAGTCGCTTTGGTCTCATTTCCACCAACCCCACTGCTGTGCAGGGAAAAGACAGACCCACCATGTCCGGGTCCGCGTACCATGCCCTTCCCCCAGCCTGCGTGCTCCAAATCAGGGCTGGTCGTTGCACGGGGGTTGCTGCTGCATCATCAAGCCCCCTCTGTGCAGACGGGCTTCTGCCTCTGCCCTTGGTGTTCGAAAGGCGTCTTTCACGGCCCCTCTTCTGACCCCTTGTTCGAGAACGGGCGCGGCGGCAAACCGATGCTTCGCAGCCTTTTTGAATTACACGGGTGGTGTGAATGCTCGTGGTTTCCGATGCCCCAACAAGCAGTTTCCGTCAGCGATGGATGCCAGGAGCCTGAACCTGGGCCCGTTGACACCGGGACTGCTGCACCAGGAGACGGTGGTGAGTTGGAACTGCAAACGCACAGCTGAGCAATGGTGTCAGGATTGGCCATCATCACCGTCCTCCTCAAAATGCCAAAAACTCTGCTTGCTGGCATTTGCTCTGCAGACAGGGATTCTGCCCGGTGTAGAATCTAGGTCGTCCTGGTGCTCCTGCAGTGGTGGTCTCTGGGACCTCAACTCCCGTCCGCACCCAGTGACCGTCGCAGCAGCAAGGATGGCTGCAGATGGTGGTCCAACCACCAACCGCTGGAACAGAGGTCACCGTCTCTGTTTAGATCACCTCAAATGGGCGACTGTGGATGCGATGGGACCAGCTCGTTCTGCGTTCCGGAGGTGGACAGCCAATGGCATGGCAAACAGATTCACAACACGTGGGAAGCTTCATGTTGCTGATAATGATGGCCGCAGATGCTCTGTCTGTTTGCTCCCCTCATCGCTGGCTGCATGGAGAGGTCCTCGCTGGCGATCTCGACCTTCGCCTCTGTCCCACTCTGCAGTTCGATCCGTTCGATTGCCTCATTGCATTCTCTTGACCGTTGATGAGCCTTGGTGCGATGCATCTGGCTCTGGCTCTGCACATGCTTGTCGCTGGTTTACTATTTGCCGAGCATATCACTTTCTGCGTGCATCAGGAAGAACGCTCAACTCTTCGACACACCACCTCCAAGGCAAAGTGCTGATGAGGGTGCATTCCCGAGACGGATCAGGTTGGATAAGGCGCACAAATGCAAACCTCCGACCGAGGCGGTATCCTGCAAGACGAGACCCCCAACCTCGACAGTTACCCAAGAAACCTTTTATCTGTGGTCAAACCCCCCATGAACCATGCAAATCCACGACCCCCACCGAGCCGGTAAATGAAGGGGGCAAAGCGATTGGCTGGGTGACACCTGTCAGACGACAACCTCAGCAGGTTGTGGATGGCTTGAGCGATGACAACCGGTGTCAGCAGCTTAGATCAGAGGCCTATCAGCAGTTGTTCCTGAAGGAACAGTCGATCCGAAATGAGAAGAACAGAAGTAAGGTGGTGGCGAAGATATTCAGCAGATGGATCACAAGCTTGTGGAGTTTTGTCAAAGGGGGGTTAAAGGTGAAGTTGATTCATTCTTTGGCCCATATGAGTCGTCAAGGGGGGTGTAAAGGCCGAAGCAAGAACACTGATCTGCCTTCAGACAGTTGTCGTACAGGGCATTGTATAGCAGAAAGGAGTATTGCTGATGAAATGAACCCCTGCTCCTTGCCATGTGTTCGAGAACAATCGTCAACAAGGTTGGCCACTACTGGCTCAGCGCCCAGCACTGAGCACGAACTGCGTCATCACAGTGTGCCTGATCTCAGCATCAACTGTCGGGGTTCGGTAATTTGTTTGGTCCCAGCAGCGGTGCTCTTGATGGCAGGTTTTGCCCGTCAGATATCTCTCCTACCATCTGCCAACCCCCTCCGTTTCAAAGCCCCGGTAGCCCATGTCTGCGGTAGTAGGGGGGGCAAGATGGACGCCTCAGTGGTGGTTGGTTCTCCCTTGAGGAGGGAGATGTGGGAAGTTCCTGATGCTCCCTGCTTTGAGGACCACCTGCATGACCTGCCGTTTGCATCGATTAAGCTAGGGGGACGACATATGATTCGGAAAACGACAAAAGTGAATGGTGTAGAAGATCGGAAATTGAAGGGGGACCAAAAGGACCCCATTAGGAAGGAAGATCAAGAAAGACAGAAAGGGAAAGTGGCACCATCTCCATCCAGGGTTGAAGAGGTCTTGGAGGTTGTTCCCCCTCTGCATAGCTATCCTTCAGATCGTATGGATGCTTCTTTTGGCCCTCCACCTTTGTTGCCCCAAAGTGGTGTGGGAGAGTGTCTTAAGGAGCAAGGGGGAGGGATCAGACCTACTCCACCGAGTTATCGAGTCTGGCAGGATGGGGGGACCCACATATGCAGCGAAATGTATCTGGGTGGGGAGGACACAGTGCTGAAGGATGGAGTAGTGCCAGACAAAAGAAGTGTTGAGGGAGCAAATCCAGAGTTGGAAGCGGGAGAAGGAGGTAAAGAGAGACTTGGGAGAAGTGTGGTTAGAATTGGAACAGCTAGGGTTATCCGGGACAAAAGACAAAGGCGGGGACGGCATAGGCGAAGGCAGAAACCTATGACGACAACAGTTGCAGCATCAGGTAGCGACCCGAGGGTGCAAAAACAGTATGCCAAAAAGAGGGATGCAAATAAGCCTATCTCGAAGGTTTATGTTGGGCTTGGGGAAGAGGTGGAAGTCATAAGACTGGGGGAGTGGGAATGGAGCAATGCAGAGCTGGCACCAGTAGACCTTTCTGTAGCAGGTGCTGAAGAGTACAATTCTGTTGTGGAGGTCCCTAATCCCAGGAAATGGGGCTATTGGGTTTCAGACCAAGCCAGAGTGCTTTCGAGAGAGGAGGTGGACTCTTTAAACCGTACAATCACGGAGATGTATAATTCAACGGGTGTAGATATGACTATCGTCACTGTCAAGCGTGTGGGGACCACAGTGGGGAGCGCAGACAGCCTAGCACGCAGGTTATACCATTATTGGGGTCTGGGTGTAGAGAGAGAAGGGTGTGGGGTGCTGCTGTTGATGGTGACAGATTCGGGAAGGGTGGAAGTGGAAGTGGGAGAGAGACTAGGTGATAAACTTGACTTAGTGAGGAGAAGCAGTGGGGAGCTTGGGAGCCAGGGTGGACGATGGGGGGCGGATAGAGGGGGTAGCTGCTGGGTGAAATGGCTGAAGGAGAAGAGGATTAGACCTAAAATGCGGCTTGGAAGATATGGTGCTGCAGTCATGGCAGGGGTGAATGAGGTGGTTGAGCGTGTCGCCGAGCTTTATGGGGACGCGCCAAAGCCATCCATGTACGTGCCAGCTCGCAGGAGATTACAAGTGGTTGATGCCTTGTGGATGGGTTTGATTTCCTTTCTTGTGGCAGGAGGTATATGGATGCACTGTGGAAAAGCACTGAGGAAATTTGGCCTTAGCAGGAGTACCAATTATCCTAACGTTAAGCGGTATTTAGCAAAAGGGTCAGGAAAGGAGACTGCAGGCGACGTTTTGAACCGGTTGATTAGGAGATTCCATGAGAAAGGTGGAAATCCAGTGTGGGATCTATACATGCTTTCAAAAGGTGCGCCAAGGGTGATGCTGGGTCCGGTTGATGGGCTGGGGTTCCTCCACAGACAAAGAAGCAAGCAATCAGCTGCCAGCGATCGAAGAGCTGAGGTAACCGATTCCAGTGTGTGGTTGTATGCTCAAGGAGAGCGTACCAGGCCGGGAAGTGTTGCATTGGATTTAGAATCTACGGACAAGGAGTGTGGCAAAAGAACTGTCGATGGGGGACACTCTCGTCTGGCCTGGTGCCAAGCAGAGCCCAAGGAATCAGCCTCGTTAAGACCATCGAGGAGGTCTCCGTTGTTTGGTGGTTTGCTGAAGGGGAAGAAGATGGACCCAGAGGGAGAGAATTGTTGTGGGTCTGCTCAGTCTGGAAGGCTGTCATTAAGCAGGGAGGGTCCGGATGACGAAGCAAGAGCGACAAGAGTTACAGACACCGAAGACGGCGAGCATGGGATCTTGGCATGGGGAACTGCAGTCCAGCCAATTATCCTGGATGGATAAGAGACAGAACATAAAGGCTTAATCTGAGCTGAGGTGATTTGGAAGCCAACTTGTATATATCGAAGACATCCAAAGCAGCAGTGACATAGACATTTTCATAGCACCGCTTCTGGCAGAAGGGAGCCCAAGGGATCACAACAGGTATTTTTGCCTTTAATACTTCTTCTTTTATTTTAATTAAAAATGGACCATTTCTTGATTCAAGTGTGCCATCCCTGTGCAGGGCCCATGCTAATCTTGGCTGTATCGTTCCATTTCTTTAAACTTTTCTTTTGCAGAAAAGAAAACTTTATTATACACACAAGAAGGGAAGTGGGGCCCGGCGTGCCTCACAACGAAAGACAACCCTTCGGCATGACCGAGGCACTCTGGCCAGGTTCATACCATACTTGCAACCGCACGAGCTGCACATTCGTGCGGTGCGCCGTACTGCGTGCGAGGGGTGTCTGATCTCCGCACGGCCTGCAGTAGAAGTGGGATTCGGACATTGATTCTGGTTCAGTCATTCAACATTATTATTGTTATTTCTTGTTTGAATAAGAGGGGAGGAGATAGGAGGAAGAGATTGGTTGGCGAAGAAGAAGAGCCTTGTCATTGGTCTATGCTGGAGTACATCATCTTCTTCTTCTTTCTTACTTCTTCTTCTTCTTCTTTCCCTCTCTCTCCTCTCGAGTTCATTCATTTCTTTTTGCAATTGGATGGCATTGTACTTTCAGCTGAATGTATACTTCGAATTTGGCCAGGATCGTAACAGAACTCTAAAATTGTATAATCTGATAATTCGTTGAAGTTTTCCAAGCTATCCTGATTCGGTGTTTAAATCGGCTGGTCTGGTGTAATCTTCGTGTGAACTTTCATGCGTGCATGTCTGTTGAGAGTGAAATTAAGAGCGGTTCATTGCAAGACAATCTACTAGGGCATCCTGCTGCACCAGGTAGCCCCACTGAGGTAGGTCTGTTTTTTTTGTGTAATTTTACTAATTTACTGATTGATTGAAATAAATTGAAATAATGCTTGTTGTAGGGTCCAGATTCGAGAAGCATCTTGAGAGGAGGGCCTTCCCAGCGCTGCAGGATGATCAACTTAAGTGCAAGGTACAGCATGAATGGAGGGGATTTTTTCTTTTTTTTGTCTTGATGGACGGAGGAGGATCGATTTCAGAATGGAGGATTTAGAAGTGTAACTACATTTCATTTACTGTTGTCCTTTCCAGTGAGGTGATTGGTTGGCTGGTTTGGTTAATCATTGGCTGGTTGGTTAATCATTGGCTTGAGTGGATTGTTTAACCATTGGCTGGTTTGGTTAATCTCTGGCTTGGCTGGTTTGGTTAGTCTATGGCTGGGTTGGTTAGTCATTACCTTGGCTGGTTTGATTAATAATTGCCTGGTTTGGTTAATCTATGGCTTGGCTGGTTTGGTTAGTATATGGCTGGCTTGGTTAATCATTGCCTTGGCTGGTTTGATTAATAATTGGCTGGTTTGGTCAGTCGTTGGCTTGACTGGATTGTTTAATCGTTCGCTGGTTTGATTAATCATTGGCTGGTTTGATTAATTATTGGCTTGGCTGGTTTGGTTAATCATTGGCTTGGCTGGTTTGGTTAATCATTGGCTTGGCTGGTTTGGTTAATCATTGGCTTGGCTGGTTTGGTTAATCATTGGCTTGGCTGGTTTGATTAACCATTGGCTAGGGGTTTGGTTAATCATTGGCTGATTTGGTTAATCATTGGCATGCTAGTGGTGTATGTGCTATGTGGTAAATTTAGCAAAGAGGGATACAAGTAATGGCCGTCAAATTCGAATTCCGAAGATTTCTTTAATTCAATTTCAAATTGCAATCCTTTTTGTTGGAGCTATTGAATTCTAATGTAATCAAGTTTTGATCTGACCTGTGAGTAAACTAGCAGTACAGCACTCTTGGTATCGTCTTCCCCCGAATAGAAAGTATGTGTGGTCATTCTAGCAGTACTTGGGCCAACTTTCACTTTAGATACAGAAATAATGATCACACGTTCTGTTCCGGTGAAGACGGTACTGCATTTTTGGTGACGGGCTATAGCCCCCGTGTGCAATTCTTGAGTTCAATCTTTTTGTGGCTTGAATTCCAATAGAATCAAATTTCGATCTAACCTGTACGGGAATGAGCACTACACAGTTTTTGGTGATGGGCTATGGCCCTTGTACACACCTCCTCTCCTCTCCTCTCTCTCTCTCTCTCTCTCTCTCTCTCTCTCTCTCTCTCTCTCTCTCTCTCTCTCTCTCTCTCTCTCTCTCTCTCTCTCT